AACTTCATTACCATGCATGAGAGAGAGAGAGAGAGAGAGAGAGAGAGAGAGAGAGAGAAGAGAGAGGGAAACCGCCAAATTGAAATGACAAAAAAAAAATTATTCAGGATAACTTGTTGTTGTTTAGTTTAGTTTATTCGCTTTTTTTTTGTTTTTGATCGATTGTGATTGATTGATTGAATAAGTTCAGTTTTTTGTTGTTGTTGATGATAATGATGATTGTCCTTGTCGATTTTTTCATTTAGTTAAAGTTGTTGTTGCCGTCGTTGAAAATACAGGGAAACAAAAATCCAAACTAAAACCACAATCATCGATATATTTACAATGAGAAAAAACAGGGAAAAAAACTGAATAACCATATGCATATCAATGGTAAATAGCCGGGCAATTTCAACCAAAAAAAATGTCACTTTTTCATTTCATTTGAATAAATTCAGAGTTTTGTTTTCGTCAACTATACAACAAAAGCATATACAACATTCTTGAGATTTTATTTCATAAAAATCTAAGATGTTACTAAAAAGAAGTTCTTCCATTGCGTTTGCGCGTTTGTGGATGACATTTTTTTTTTGCTTGGAAAGAAAATTTATGATAAAAATAAACGGGAAAAAAAAGTTCAACAAACTTAATGGCAATTAAAACCAAAAAAAAAACTAATTTTATTTAAATGAAATTTTAAAATTCAAAGAAGTAAAGTAATTTCTTGGAAACAAAGATTTAAAAAAAAAAGTTGACCAAAAAAAAGTTTCCGAAAAGATTTCTGGTTTTGAAATTACAAAAGTAAGTAAGTAAAAAATAATTAATTAATTAATTAAAAAAATAAATAAATAATTTAATTACATCATCATTTTCAATAATTGATAATTGATAATTTTAATTATCGATTTGATTCTGCCATTATTCTGATTATTATCATTATAATCATCATTATTATTGTTGTTGTTGGTCGGGTTTTGACTAGTTTTGTAATTGTTTTGTAATTGTTTTGTAATTGACAATAATAAATAAATAATAATAATAATCGAATAAAATCAATCACATTAATTACAATTACAATTAATTAATTATAATAATCATCTATTCATCATAATAATTTCATCATCATCATCATCGGTATCATCGGTTAAATCTTGAATATTATTCAATTTTGAATAATAAAATGTATTTGTTTTATTATTATAATGATGATTATTATGGTTATTATTTGATGATGATGATGTTGTTGTAATTGTAAATAATTTTCTTGGATCACAATCAAAACAAAGATTAAATAAACGTGTACGATTCATTAAACGTAATATGATTGTTGGACACCATACAATCGACATACAAAATGTAAAAAATATTATTGAAAATATTAATAATAATATAACTGTAATTATAACAAATGAATCAGTTGTTTGTTGTTGATGATAATAACTTAATGGTTCTAATGAAAAATTAATAATCATTGCTGTTTTCATTACCAAATGATCATTATCATTTGTATTATTCATTAATGTTATTGTATGACTTTTTGATTGATAACCAGATTTCCGTACAGTTATTTGATATGTACCTGGTAATAATAAACGCCAATAATCACCATATGGTTGAACAGATTTTACTATATGTGTTGAACTATTTATATGAATTTCAGCATCAATAATTGATTGATTTGTTTTTGAATCACTAATAACACCTTTAATACCATGATGTATTTGTTGTATGAATATTAACATTGGACGACGATTTTCTTGCCATAATCTTTTCAATTCATTAGCTGGTGGATATTTTTGACAACCCAATTCAATTGTTATTTCAAAACAATTTGTATGTAGATAATTCCAATCTTGCATACCACCATATAATACATACCAATCAGCACCATTTATAATACCATTTGGATAATATTCATTTGTTAATTCATTATCAACACATTTTTTAAAACAATGTCCTTTATGCATATTTGGATGATTCTATTTTGTGAAAATACATTATATTTTTTTGTAAAAAGTTGTAAAAAATTAATTAAAAATTACCTTTGAATAAATTAATGCAAGATAACGAAATAATTGATCATCAGGTGTACCATTATAACCATCATGATAACCATTATTAGTATAATTATTACCATCAAATGGATAATTAGCAACTAATGCACCACCATGTAAATTTGCTGATAATACAAATGGATATTGTCGAAGCCAATTCATAACGGCTAATGTTTCTAATTCTTGTCGACGATTTTCCTTATATAAACGATATTGATCAGGGAAATTTCGATTTAAATCAACATTATTTGCATTATTACGACCAATTAATGAATCACAATCACCTAAATTTGATTGTTCATAACCATCCGGATTCATTGATGGCATTAAATGTATACGAGTATTATTAATTAACCAATCAATATAATTATGATGACCATAATTTTCTAATAATAATTTTGCAAATAATAATATCATTTCACGACCAACAACTTCATTACCATGCATATTGGCAATATATTTAAATTCTGGTTCACCGATTTCATGTTGACCTGGGTTATCACTAATTTCCAGTACATAAAGTTTACGTTTTTCAACCGTTCGACCAATCGAATAAAGTCTTGTAATATGGCTATAATTTTGATGAAATTCTTTTAATAATTTTTCCATTTCAATATAATTATGATGAATGAATTTTGTTTCCGTATGAAAATCAGGTAATAATTCAGTTTTATTGAATTGAAAATCTTCAATTTCAATCGATGATGATGATGATTTTGTTTGATTATTACGTTGTAATGTAAAATTCAGAATTGTAGCAGATGTTGGATTCAAATTGTTAACAATAATTTTTGATGTTTTTGTTTGATAACCAAATGCACTGACAGTAATTTGATAAATACCTGGTAATAATATACGCCAATATTCACCATTTAATGATGATGTTATATTATGACCATTAATATTATCAATTGAAATTATAGCTGATTTTATTGGCTGCTGGGTTGATTCATCCAGAATTAATCCTTTTATACCCCAATGGGCCTGTTTGAATAGGGGGGAAAAAACAACAATTGAAAAAACATCAGCAAAACAAAACAAAATAGCACATACAGTTTCAATAAATTTTAATAATGATTCACGATTATTTAACCATTCCGTTTCCAATTGGGATGAATTTGGATATTTACAACAAGATAAATATAAATCAATTTCTAAACAATTTGTATTTATATAATTAAATTCAGACATTGTATCTGTAGTTTTGAATGAATGAAAATGAAAAAAATCAATCAATCAATCAATCAGTAAAATATTTACATTGTGGCTGTTGTTGTCCAAGTTGTCCAGGTTGCTGTTGTTCAGGATCATCATTTTGTTGATAATCAATTGGATTAATTTCATAACCATTGGTATAACCATTTCGAAAATGTTTACTCTGAATACAGGAATCCGAAGTAAGAAATTCTGTAGAATTTTGTAATGAATTTATATAATTTTTTGAAATTTTTTGAAAAATTTTATCATCTAATGTTGTTTGATTTTTAAAATAATATGGATATGCTAAAACATTTAAACCCGAATGTATATTAGCTGATAATATAAATGATGGATTTGATATGATCCATGTCATAATTGCTAATGTTTCTGGTTGAATTTGTTGTTGTTGTTGATGTTTGAATTGTAAACCATTATCATCATCATTAAGATTAATAAAAAAATTTTGATCCAAATCAATATTGTTTGCATTTTCACGTCCATTCCAACGATGACCAGGTGAACGAATACCTGAACAATCACCTTCAATTGCAATTGAAAATCCATCTGGATTTATTATCGGTACTATTTCGATATTAATTGTATTCAATATTTGTCGAATACGTTTATCTTGATGATGTTCATAACCAATAACTAAATATTCAGCTAATGATAATAATAATTGTTTACCTAATGGTTCATTACCATGTATGGTTGATAATAATTTTATTGTTGGTCGTAATAATGTTCTTGATTGATCATAATATTTAAATAAATTTTCATGATTTTTAATCTTTGGTTGTTTCCCAGATTTCGATTGTTGTTCAGTTGAAATACGCAACAACCAAATATCATTATTCTGAACGCTTCGACCCAACGATATTAATTGTATTAGATTTGGATAATTATTTTCTAAATTTTGCATAAATTGAAATGTTTTTTGATAATTTAGATTTGTTTTCCATGTTAATGTTGTTGTTGTTTTTGTTTTATTTTCATGTTTACTATCAATACAATTATAGCCATAAAAAGACAATAAAATAACGATGACGAGGATGCTTGAAAAATGATAAAACTTTATCGATAACATTGTTATCGGATGGTATTTTGACAAGAAGAAAACGACGAAGAAAGCACCGAAGAAGAAAAAATATTCACGTGGCATTCATCATTCAGTCAAGTTAAGTAAATTCAGTCCAGTTTAGTCCAGTGAAGTCAGGCAAAACCAAAACCGAAAAACGAAAAACAAACAAACGAAGGAATTAAGACACCCACGCACAAGTTTTAATTAAAAGTTTTTATTATTATTATTTTTTTGGTTGTAAAATTAATTTTAATTAAAATTTTTACAAAGAAGAAAAATTCCACAAAAAAATCTTTCTCAATCAACAGACAACAGAAAAAAGCCGACGACGACAACTTGTTGTTATAGACAAAACTCAAGTGTGTTAAGTGAAGCATGGATACTAAAACATTTGGAATGAAAGAAATGAAAAGAAAAAGGCAGAAAAGGCAATAACATATGCAACATATGTATGCAGCATTTGAGAGGCAAACAAACAGAAAAAATTTTCATTCGCAAATTGAAATCTTTTTCGTTTTTTCGTTTTATTCGCTTGAATCGCTCCAATCCACCATAGTGGTGGTGGCGGTGGTGGCTATTATCATTTAGTTTTCTTTCTTCTTTCGACTTTTTCTTCTTCACTCCATTGAGTAATTCAAAAATCAAAATATTTTTCCATCAAAGCAGTTTCATCATCAAAGAATCATCGACGACGTAACAACGATGTAACAACGATGTTTCCTGTTGGTTGGTTGGTTGTTTGATAAAAATCAACAGGCGTAAATTCCAAAAAAAAAAAAAAGGTTAAACCCCAGAAAAAATGGTTTATTTTTGAAAAAAATGTAATAATAACATACGTAAATCAAAAAAACAGAATATAGAATTTCATTCCATGTTTTTCGAAAAGAATTTAACTTGAAAAAAATGAAATTTCAAATTTCAATAGAAATTTGTAGCAATAATTTTTCTTCAAAAGAGAGAGAGATCGATGGAAAAAAAAAGATTGATTGATTTCCTTTCGTTTTCAGGGGTATATCTCCATGATGATGATGATGAAATCATGTTTTTTTCAAAACGAAATTCATTGCAAAAACGAAACGAAATTCATTTTTTTTTTCTTTTCGATCGAGTTTACACAAAGTTTGCATTTTTGTTTCACTCAATATTGATAATAATTATTATTATCATTAAAGCGCATGCGCAAAAAGAAATTACGAAATTACATTAACAAAACAGAAAAGATCAAGATTCTTATTTCGCCAAAATCAACAGATTCATACAGGAATGATACAGTAATAATAATATTTTTGATTAAGTTTAAAAAAAAAAAAAATTTTGTTAGGTTTAGTCATCAACCTAACCTCACTCAACTATAGATCCTGGTCATAGCCATTAACCTAACCTAACTCAGCCATCAGTCATAGTCATAGCCATATAGTCATCAACCTAACCTAACCTAACTGAACTATGAAATTAATCAAAGTAACACTGTATATCGAACAAATAAATTCATTCGAAACAAAAAAAATCCAAGATAACATTTTACCACTACTACAACACCTATCTTTGTAAACAGAGTAAACACTGTTATTATCTATTTATTGTGACCGTCAATTTTTTTTTGTGGCTTTACACACTTATAAGTGAACCACTACCACTTGACGTATTGCTGAAGCCAACATTTTTTTTCAACCAAACAAAACAAAACAAAACAAACAAGGTACCACTGTATCAAATGCTGTTGGAACAGCTAAAAAGAAACA